TAGGAAGGCGGCTGTGCGGACTACCCTCGCTGGGCGGCAGCTGTCACTCACTCATCAACAAACAGTGATCGCAGGGTCGCTGGGGCAAGTGCTCCCCCACCAGGGGCAAGCCCTAGACCTTTGAGGGGTCAGCCTCCCAACCCCTGGTCCCCTTGGTCCCCCTGGGGGGGGCCATCCCCCCAACCCCTGGTCCCCTGGGTCCGGGGGAGTCCCCGAGACCTGCCCCTTGAGCTGGGACAAGGCTGCTCCTTTGACATGCCCCCGAGGGTGCACAGCCTGCGCCCCACACGAGTGAGGAAAGCCGGGGTCAGGCTGCTGGGTCAGACCCCCGCTCAGCCCTCTGCTGATGGGTGTCCTTGAGCAGGGACCTGCCCTCTCGAGCCTCGGTTTCCTTATCCATAAAATGGGGGGAACACGAGAGCCTACAACACATACTCAGGGTGCTTAGGGCTTGGCCCGTTCACTCGGGGGCACTGTAATAGTTAAGTCAGCACACTCAGCAGACACCCCAAAATCCACGGAGCCACAGCCAAGTCAGAAACAAGCCCCAGAGCACAGGCAATGCTCCGCAGAACGTGTACTGCACCATGCCCCGCCTGCAGCCCCACACCTGCGGGATGGACTCGGGTCCACGGGGGTGGGCGTGGGGGCTGCCCTGGGAGCACCCCTCTGGTGCAGGGACTCGGGGCCCCAAGGCTGAGTTCTGTGACCTCCAGGGGCAGGGCTCCCCGCTGCTGGGGAGGGTGGAGAGAGAAGAGGGGACCCCGTGCTCCGGCCGGGACCAGCCCGCAGAGCTCTGCACGAGGCCAGCATTTGCTGCAGCTTCTCCCCGAGTGTGCCCACTTCCCCTTAATACCCCACGTTTCGTCTCCATGATAAACATTGTTAGATCTTCCGGCGGCTTCAAATACATATAATTGCTCCTGGTGCCAGTAAAAGGTATTAATTCCACTTACGCATTCCATAAACCTTTAGGATAACGCAATTGACACCACGATCGTGTCGGGGCACCTCCGCTGTTATTTTCCTGCTTGCAAACCTCCGAGGGGCTGGAAAGTGCTCTCCCGAATCCATTAGTGTTGACTCAGCCACATTCTGCCCAGGAATCCCGCGCAGAGCCTTTGTGTCCCAGCCCCCCTTCCTCGTGCTCCCCCAGGACCAGGAGGGGTGGCGCTCACACCACGTGGGCCAGCTCGCCCCCAGGACAGACGGATGGACACACACCCCGCCAGGTCTGGGGCAGCTGGAGGTCACTCAGGGGGCTGTGTCCTGGCTGGCGGGCTTTCCCAAGGCCCCCCAGGGACCAGCTGTGCCCGCACACCCGTGTGCACCCTCACCATCTCGCCTCATGGCTGCCCGACCTCGGAGCCCCCTCCCCAACCTCTGGAATACCCAGGCCAGTCCCGTCCCTGGAGAGGCTCAGCCTGGGAGCAGGGAGAGGCTGGACTGGACTGCACAGCACCAAGACGCCTTCACATGGGGTTGCGCCTCCTCTCGGCTCCTTGGAACCCCTGTCACCAGCTATCCCCACGGTGCCCACATGTGACAGTCCCCAGGATGGGAGTGGACACCAGGGCCCAGAGGCCAGGCTGGGCCCTGCCTCGACCCCGACCATGAGTGTCCCAGGGAGGGCGTGGGACAGGGATACGGGCACTTGGCCCCATCAGCCCTGGCCCCACTCCACCTGTCACCAGCCCTCGGAATATCGGCCCCACTCACAACCATGATCTCTCGCGGTGTCTCTCCCCAAAGCCCAGATGAGCCCCAAAACAGACACGCCTTAGCCCCGACACTGACAAGCAGTGAACACTGGTGGGCGTTATGCCCCCGCCAGCGGCTTATCTGCCCCGATGGCCAAACTCCCACCTCACCCGGCCCTTGCTCCTGTTCACAGTCTCAGGAAGAGCCCAGGTCCCTCCTCTGACCCGTCAGCTACCCACGACCCACCGCCTCTGGCCTTCTGAGGGAGGGGCGGGCTGTCAGAGCCCTGGGCAGCAACCAGGAGGGGCCTGCACAGCTGTGTGTCTGCGAGTGTGTTCCAACACGTGTGCAGTGTCTGCGTGTGTGTGCTTGCACGTCTGCACATGTGTTCACGTGTGTGGGTCTGCACGAGTGTGCACACACAGGCCTGTGGGCTGAGGGCTCCAGGCCCCCCTGTGCCCAAAGAGCGCAGGCGTGAGATCTGAAGTCCGAGGGATGCAGGGCAGGGCAGAGGGGCCCCCCGGGGCTGGGGCAGCCCGCAGGGAGCCTCAGCCAAGCAGAACCCAAAGACCCCATTAACAGCCGTGGTCGCTCAGGGGCTGCGGGGGCTGTTTTCCTGTGCCAGGAGAGGAGTGACGGCAGCAGTCAGTTTGGAAGTGCACTTGAGAAAAATATGAATTATCTATCAGTTACCAGCCGGCTGGTGTAAGGGGGCCGCGCCTGGCGCGGCGCAGAGGCCAGGACAGCAAGGCCGGTGGCAAGTCTGGGCAGCACCCGCACAGCCAGCCCCCTAGAGCTGCGAGCAGGCAGGGTGCCCGGTGGTCCCCGTCTTCCTGCTGCCGCCTGCCCGTCCCCTCCCCCGGGCGAGGCAGGGAGCCTGCGGGGGTGGGGTCCGCTCCCAGGGCTGAGATGCCAAAGGTCTCACTATCAACGTCTGTCCCACCCCCATCCCCACGTGGACAGGGGCCGGGGAGGGGGCTGTTAGCACCAGCAGCAGCACCGTCCTCCTCAGCTCAGCTCCACAAGACTTCGGGGGTGGGGCCGGGCAGGGAGGGGCACGGGGGGTGAGGGAGGCTCAGAGCTTGGAGGGGAGCCCCTGGGCACAGTGAGCCTTCCTCTGCCTTCTGTGCGGCCAACTGAGCCACCTCCACCCCAGACAGACCACCCCACGGGGCCCCTTAGTGCCAGCACAACCATGACCAAGCCACGAGCCCCTCCAGCCTTGAGGCCACACACCTGGCAAGGAGTGGCGGACACGACCAGGAGGGAGCAGAGGGCAGCCGGCAGAGGGCAGCTCTGTCCCTCCTGAGGACCAGCTCAGACATCCGAACGCTCCAAGCCCTCCAGATGCTACAGAGACCCCACCGGCATCCTCAAACAATGGAGAGGAAGGGAGCTGGGACCCCCCCCCACAAGCTGCCTACCAGGACTCCTAGGGGACCAGTCACTCAGGCCCTGATGACAGAATGTCACTGAAGGAGAAACTGGGACCCTCCCTTCCAGAAGAGAGAGAAAGGGCCTAGGGAGCAAGTGGGAACTTGGACTTAGATAGGTAGTGAGCCTCCTGTCACTAGAGGTATGCAAGTGTGGGGATGCCTCAAAGGCCAGACCTCAGAACAGGGGTGTGCGAAGCAGAACCCCACAGGCAATAAAGAACCCTGGCAGGTGCAGCTTTAGCTGAACAACCTTGTCTGGGAGGACCGGCCTCAGTGGCCCCCGACCCCCACCCCTACCCCCACGGGCCCAGGAAATAACAAAGACAACTCCCCAGCACCACTTGTGCGAAGCCCCAGGCCTCATCACCGCCACCAACCAGCAGTGAGGGAGCGAACTTCCCCAGATGAAGAGGCCTGGGCACCGACAGGACCGGGTGCCGCTCGGGGGCCCCTGAAAGTCCCGGAGTCAGCCTGCGCCCACAGCTGGAGCATGAACCAGAGACAGCTGCTGGTGGCCGTGGCCGAACCCAGACCCGGGACTGGCCCCTGCAGAGTCTGACCAGGCTGCCTGCAGCTCCGCTCCACCTCTGGCCCCCAGGAGTGTGGGGAAAGCACAGCAGGGGTCAGCAGGGCAGTGGGGACGGTGGGAACCAGTTCTTAAAGTGGCAGAACCTTGGGGTCACCTGCTCAGCACCCCTGCGGGGCAGGAACCAGCCACCCCGCAAGGACTCCCCCGCTCCAGGGTCCTGCTTCCAGGGGCTGGCAGTGAGCACAGAGCTGCCGTTTCTGGAGGAGGAGATGTGGCCCAGCGGCCAGGACCTGCCAGGTGTCCCCTGGATGTGCGCAGGGCTGGGCTCACTCTCCCCTCCTGGGGGGGTGCAGGACACTCGGAGGGTCCCTGGGACGCCCTTTCCTGCCAGTGCCCTGTGTGCCCTATGTTCACAGGCGCACTGGCGGTGTATGGGGTTTGCTCAGTGTCCCTGGAGCCTTCACTCTGTCCCCGTGGGGATGTCAGGCAGCCCCTTCCCCCCAGCTGCAGCACGGATAGTGCAGTTCAGCGGCTTGGAGCCCAGCCACAGGGTCCCCATGCCAGCACCCCTACTTACTACCTGCGGGACTCCAAGCAAGCTACTTTTCCTCCCTGTGATTCGGTCTCCTGGATGGTAAAATGGGACAATAATAGATTCTACCTGATGGGTTGCTGGCAGTTTCAAGAGTTAACATAAACTCAAAGAGCCTAGCGCAATTCACAGCTCTCGGGGAGCAGCCGTGGGGCTGTGGGATGTTATCAAAATCTCGAGCGGCAGCCAGAACGTTCCCAAGCGCAGACAGGCAGGACCCGGGGTACATCCCTGAGTGCCCGTCTCACATCCGTGCTTGGAGATGACAACCTGGACACCAAACCCGCGTACGACAGATGCTCAGCGCCAGCCCGGCACTGCCTGGAGTAGGTGACCTCCCTGGACCCCGGCACCGGCCTTAGAGGACGCCAGGTGTCAGGGCCGGCAGACTCCTGCCCACACAGGATGGGATTCAAAGCAGCGCCCCAACCTGCTGGCCGGGCAGTCTTGAGACTGGTCTGCCTCTGCCCCACGGAACTCGCCAGGGGCAGGGGGGACCACGTCCATCCCCTCTGGGGCCCTGCGGGAGACTGGCCCCCTCTGGCCAAGCGTCTGAGGGGTGGGCACACCCAGACTGCCCAGCCCGGAGACCCGCCTCCTGCCCGATGCTCCTCCAGGCCAGGCAGGAACCCTGAACGGACAGAACACAGGCATGCTCGGCCCTCCCTTGGTGCCCAGGACATGGCCACCCCTCCCCACCCTACGCCCCACAGATGACGGCCGGAGCAGGGGCACCACTCACCGTCCAGGTGGCCGACTTGGCCGTGCTGGACTGCTGGAAGGTCACCTCGAAGTGGTGGGGGCCAGGGTAGTCGGCGTTGGAGGGGATGACGGGCGCCGGCGACATGGTGTCGAAGGTGGAGCTGGGCTGCGCGTAGGGTGAGTGGGTGGGCACGCTGGCGGCGTGCTCCGGGGTGTAGGGGCTGGCCGGGGCCGCGCGGCTGCTCATCTGGTCCATGGTGCTGCTCAGCAAATTGAACTGGGACTAGCGGGAAGGGGAGGAGGGAAGGGGGAGACACACAGTCAGGCTGGAGAGTGGAAGCTGGAGTCCCAGTCCGGGAGGTGTCCTGTTACAGGAGCCTTAAAGGGCCAGCGGCTCAGTCATCCCAAATATTTCCTCGGCCCCCTCCCACCCGACAGGTCACTACTTGTGTTGGGATAAACTGACATATTCACCCCTCCCTGCTCTCTCCATCACCCTCCCGGGTGCCCGGGTGTCAGGGGCTCCACAAAGCACACCTAGTGGGGGAGATGCCTGTGGGGGTGGCTCCCAGCCCCGGACACCTTCCCAGCTGGGCTGCTCTCTCCAGGGGCAGCGCCTACACCAGACATCCTCACCTCTGCCCACCGCACCCCCTCTCCCCACAGCTGCAGCTCAAAGTGGGGAGACCCCGCGCCTGGGAGCCGGGCAGTGGGGGAGACAGGGCCAGGGCAGAGGGCGGCCCCTGCATGCAGGAGGGCACACCCCAGGCTCTGAGGCAGGAAATGCCTGAGAGGCCCCCGGGGGAACAGATGTGGCCTGAGGTCCAGCTGTGCAGGTGGCCGGGCAGGGTTGGGGTCTGAAGGACACTGGCTGAGCCAATAGCCCCTTTCAAATGCCCTCTGTATGTGGGGCTGCCCCGTCCATCCCACACCTGAAGGACCTCGACCCCCACAGTCTCCACTGCTCCCCTGCTCCCCTGCCTGCAGCTTCTGCCTGGTCCACGCCCTCTGCCCATCCCGGGGCACTGGCAGCCCAGCCCCCTCCCCCGGGCCACACACAGAAGGAAGAGGAACTCCTAGCCTCGCGGTGTGGGCGTGTCCCCCGGGTCACCCTCTGTGGGATCCTGAGTGGGACGCATCAGCCGCTGCCAGGAGCTTAAGGGAGGCCCCCGTCAGGGAGAGAGGGGGCGCCGGTCCACACTCCACTGTCTGGAACCCAGCACAGATCAGACCCCACAGGAAGGCTGGCAGCGAAGACCCCCTTCCCAAACTGGAGGCTCAAAGCAGGAGGGTAACACAGTAGCTGACAGGGGCCATACCTGCTCTAACCACAAACGCTTAAATAGCTCCTCTGAGCCAGCGGGGCTCCGAGCAGCAATTAATTCATCATCATGACCTGAAGTGGGCGCTACTGTCCCCGGTTTGCAGATGAGGAGACTGAGGCATGGAGCAGGCAGGACCTGCCTGAGCTGATGCTATGGCCCCAACAGAAGACACAGGAGACCAGCCTGAGAACCCCGGGGACGGTGAGCTGAGAGGCCTCCATCTGCAGGCAGGGGGCCTGAAGTTCCCATAGCAGGGTAGGGGGGTGGAGGCAGACCCGACAGCGGGGCCCTTGCGCCCTGCCCTCTGTCCCTTCCTCCACGTTCCTTGGAAGAGCACCCCGCACACATCCTGGGGGCCACCCCGTGCTCAGCCCCCTTCCGCATCCCAGTCTTTCTTCCATCAGGAGGGGCTGGGCGGCCCCTCTAGCTCATAACCCACCCCTCAGAGTGTCCACATCTCCGAGCCCCAAGCCCCCTCCGGCCTGCAGAGGGAGAGCCCCTCCTGAGGTCTGCCCAGCCCGGGGAGAGGGCGTGCAGCTCAGGTGACAGGTGACAGGCAACTTGTTCTTATCAGAGCCACTGCCGCCCCCCTCCACGCAGTGCCTCTCAGAGGCCAGGCAGGTGCTTTCCTCGGATGATCCAGCCAACTGCCGCCCAGCGCGGATCAGCCCAGCAGACCCGTGCCCTCCCCCTCAGGGACAGCCAGCCTGGGGGAGGCTGCCGGGCACTGGCTCAAGGCGCTGGCGGAAACTGCCATCGGACAGATCTCCGGAACAGGCCTCTCGCTTTTCTATTGGCATCTCCAGGGTCATTCCCCCCACCCTGTGAACCTGGCGCCCCCACCCCGCCCTCCTAACCCCTGTGCCTCCACCTACAGAATCAGGGGGCCGGCCCACTCCCACCTCGTAGGTAGGCAGGTCAGCAAACTGCAGAGTCCGTGCGCTGGACTATCACCCCTCCGCGCTTAGAAAGAAAAGAACGTCTGCTGCTACAGCCCGGAGGGAACGCGGAGACACGTCACCGACGGCTCCGCCACGCAGCTCACACACTGCACGGCTCCCTCAGCGTGAAAGTCCCGGGAAGGCAAACCCACGGGGACAGGCGTGGACGGTGGCAGCCAGGGCTGGGCGGGGCTGCAGGGTGCTAGCTAAGGGGGTAGGATTCCCTTCTGAGGTCGTGAAAATGTTCTAAAGTGGACCATGGTGACAGGTACGCGTATCTGTGAATACACATAAAAAACACCAAATTGTCCATCCACCCATCCATCCATCCTTTTGATTGACACTAAGTCCTTGGAATCGACACCCACAGCACAGCTCAGTTCACCTGGGCCACAATTCCTGTGCCTGCGTGGGGATGCATGGATGACCCATAGGACAAGTCCCATCCTTGTAGGGTCTTTAAGGAGGTGAGTTGTGTGACATGCAAATTATAACTCAATAAAGCCATTTAAAAGAAAACAACTGAGGGACCCAGGGACCCGGTCCTCTCTCCTGGCCCAGGGCTGTTGATGCGGGTGGGGTGGGCTGGGGTGGGGAGGGACAGCCGACTGCCCCTGGAGGCCTGGGCTGGGGACCCCAAGTGCTCTCACACCCCCAGTGAGTGTCAGCTCTCTGCTCTGGGAGTGCCCTGCTTCTGTGTCCCCCTTCTTATGTCTCCCCAACTGGACTTCAGACCCTACAAGGATGGAACTTGTCCTATGGGTCATCCATGCATCCCCACGCAGGCACAGGAATTGTGGCCCAGGTGAACTGAGCTGTGCTGTGGGTGCCGATTCCAAGGACTTAGTGTCAATCAAAAGGATGGATGGATAGATGGGTGGATGGGAGGATGGATGGGTGGGTGGAAGATCGATGGGTGGGTGGAAGGATGGATGGATGGATGGATGGATGGAAGAATGGATAGATGGATGGGTGGATGGGTGGGTGGAAGGATGGGTGGATGGATGGGTGGATGGATGGATGGATGGATGGACGGGCGGATGGGTGGATGGATGGGTGGATTGAGCAGTAGGACAGCCCCTCCATATGGATGCCCAGGACTGAGGACAGGATGTGAGCCCACCCCCTTCTTGACAGGAGGCCGAGAGACTGGTGGGTCCTGGGGGTAGGGGATGAAGCCTGCAATACCCCCACCGCAGAGATTTCCTCTCTTCCATGTAACCCCTCTGGAGGTGGGTCTTCCCTGTTGGCTGCCAGACCAGGGCGGCCCGAGGACTGCTGGGAGCCTACCTGTCTGGCCTCAGACATGAGCTGAGCGAGGACAGCTCAGCCAGGATTTCAGGTCTGTCCCCCACCTCCATCCCCCACAGGAGGACGGCCAGGCCAGCGGGGCAAACAGCCCCTGCCTCCCTGCTCAGAAGTAGGAGGCAGTCCGACGACAGCGGTGTTCAGATTTCAACTTGTCCACATTCTTTACTGATCTGAGGCGAGTGCCGGGGAATTAGTCACTGAACCACAAGGAGCGGGGCTGATAGGATCTCCACACCCAGCAGCCACAAGGCGGGAGGGAGCCCAGGGGCTTCCCGGGGAGCCGTGCACGAACTGCAGGTGCTGAAGCCGCAGCCCTGTGGGCCCTGGCGGCCAGCGAGGTCCCGCATCCTCTCACGCCAGCCCTCCGAGGTGTCGGACTCAGTGGCCGCCTGAGGTCCGGGGTCCTGGGGAGCCCCCTCCTCCCCTCCCCAGGAGCCTGAGGACAGTGGCCCTGCGCTGGGCCCAGCTCGCTGGGGAGGATGCTGTCCGGGTGGCCCGTCGGGGCTGCTCCTTCTCCTGTCCTGCTCCCCCGGATGCCCCCCACACCCCGAGAGAGGCGGAGATGGCTGTCCCGCGGGTGTCCCTGCCGCAGTGGCAGCGGCAGCTCTGAGCACAGCTGGAAGCCCGCCGATTAGGAAGCGCTGCTTCCTCGCCCCAAAAGGCCCTTTCTTCCCTGCCCGCGGGAGACTGCGCTTCCTCCCAGCTCAGTGGGCGGGAGGGCTGTGCTGGGGGCCCGCCCGCCTCAGACCCAGGCGCTAACAGCCAGGGAGCCCGGACCGAGGGGAAGCCAGACGCAAGCCCGAGGTCCAACTTGGCCACATCAAAGCCAGCGGGGGTGGGGGGTTCTCCAGAACCAGAGGCCCCTTCGGCAGCAGGGAAGAACTCGGGCAAAACCAGGACATTTTTGGTTTGTTTTGCTTTCAATAAGAACTCCCAGGAGAGCGGGCTGATCGGGACACGCCCGGCCCGCGGCGGCCCTCATGTGCCTACATGTGCGTGCAGGGCTCCTGGGCCCGACCCAAGGAGGGCCATGAGCGAGCGAGCGGGCAGGCGGGCAGGCGGCGGGCGCCAGCGGGTGGCCTCCCCTCCAGCCTCCGCGGAAG